CTTTACTTAGACGCCCAGAAGTAGTTTACTTAATAAAATATCGAGTAATAGACAGTTTTGTACTGTAGAGATTTGGTGCAAGTGATTGTCGGAAAGAGTTAATGATTTGCGTCCTATTGTCTCAAACTAACTTTTAAATTTTATTCTAACTATAAATACTATTAAAATTAATTTTTAAAAAGTTTATTTTATTTTTATTCGAGCAAATTAAAAATTTTTATATAAAAAAACAAATCTAATTTATATAATTATGTTTTTATAATTTTATTATTAAAAAAGAGTATCAAAAATTTTATTTTTTAAGCAAATAAAGCAAAAATAATTTTATTTTTGAAATTTAATTTTGTATTTTAGAATCTAAATAATTTTGTTAAAATTTATAATTATAAGAATTTTACTAAAATGTACCTATAGTAATTTACACCTATATATATATCATCTCAAAAACTGTCTAATTAATCGAAATAAGGTATTCTAAGTAAAAATGTTTTATGCGCTTCAAAACCCTTCTCAAACTCTAATCTAACCATAATATTAACTTTAATTTAAAAAAATTAATATTAAAAATTATATATATAAAATTTATAAAAACTTAGAAAATTTTAAAAACATAATAAAAACATATAATAGGCGCAAAACCACTATAGATATATTTTATAATAATTGTAATTATAGGCTAAAATGTAGTATAGATGACCCCTTTTTACTAGCATTATAACAATTTTTGGCTGGAATTATGCCAATTTTTTGGCCAGAATTATCACAGGAGGATCTGCGCATGTATATATATAATACTATTATATACCTGTTTTTATACAATTTTTAGGGTATATACTCTATTTTTTAGAGTATATACCCATTTTTTAGGGTATATACCCATTTTTTAGGGTACATACCTTATTTTTTAGGGTATATTTTATATCACATGATCTTTATTTTTAGGGTCTAAAGTCTTTTTTTATGTAACCTAGGCCAAACAGGGTCATATAGGGTATGCACCTTTTTTGGAGTATATATCCAATTTTTAGAGTGCATACCCTAAATTTTAGGGTAGAGTCATCTATCTGCATTTGAGCCTAATTATAATATCTTTTATTAATACTTTTTAAAATTTTAATATTTTATACAAGCTAGTTTTTAAACTATTATAAATCCTTTATTTATATTAATAAATATATATATATATGACAATAAAAACCTTACTATAGCAATCTCTTTATTTAAAAAACACAATATTATATAAACTTTTAACAATTTTAACTACACTAATCTAATAATATAAATTAAAAAGTAACTATAATAATATCTTTTTTACATCAGTATAATATACCAAACCAGTTTTATTACAAAATCTTGATATTCAAAAATCCTAAAACTATAATCCCAATATGATAATTAATATTTAAAATAGAAATTATATTAACAATCATTGTCAGATTTTAAATTTTAATTGTCACTTCATGTAATATCAGTATTATAGCCTGTCAAGATTTTGGATATTCAGATTTTGTAATAAAATACACCAAACTGATTATATAAACAATATTTTCTTAAATAAACAAATTAATATTTAGTTTATATTCTAATTTAAATATTATATCTTTTCTAACTATTTTCTATTTATTTAAGTTTATAGATAAACTAGTTTAGGTTTTATTTTTCTATATAATTTTTATTTTTATATATTTTGTATATAAAGTTTGGTAACTTATTGCAAACTATTTTAAAAAAATTACTAACAAGATATAGACAAAACCTTATCATAATATAAAAAGACAAAAAATATACTCATGAAGTTGACTAGTATCTATAACTAAACTATCTAATAAATAAATTATTAATAATTTAATATTTATAAATTTAAATTTAAAAACATCAAAAATACTAGTGATGCAATATTTTTAAAAATGTAGCTTTAATTTTTTAATCTTTTCTAAAGAAATATCTGCTTTAACAAAAATTTTAATAATATTAATATTTATTTTTTACTTAACCATTATTTGAGTTTGAAGTTGGATTATGCTTTGGTTTGATGAGATTTTATTAACTTCACTTGATTTTGCAATTTTTTTTTGCCTTTAATGTTTATTGGTTTTTAAATACAAATCTAAATTATGTTTTATTGATGATCAATTTGATATTAACAAAAAAACAATAACTTTTTTCTTCACTTTTATAAAACTTATTCTTGTATTTGGGATATTGACTAGTGATGCCGTAGAATCTCAGGGCATTGGGATAAGTCATAACGTAACTAATTTATAACACTTATTGTAAGTCATGGCATGTCAAAACATGCGTATGTGCTATATTAGTTCGAACATACCATAACTGTTTTATGCGCCATAACTCAATTTTTATATGTCGTGTACTTTACTTTATATTTTCTTTATACCATAATATTTGCATACATAATACATAATACAGTATATATTTAAAGCCTGCATTAATTTATTTTAATTATTCTCTCTCTTCATGAAACATTCGTGCTATTAAGCTTGCCGGATTATAATCATGATTTCACGAAGTCCATCGTTGAGCCCTGTTATCCGAGGTCTTGCTTTGTTCTTCAATGAATAAATTGTTATTACCAATGAAAGCCGGGTTGAAAACTCGATAATTTCTTCACTTAATAAATTATCGCCATTTACTTCATCGAGCTTTATATTGTTGGAAATAGGATCAACTAGGGACTTGATTCGTAAAGAGTTGTTCTGCATTACTATTAGATTCATATAATATCCTGATTAATATCGTTTGTATAAATAACTTTATTTTGGTTTGTAATGTCTTTGAACGCCTTCATTTCGTTAAAATTTTTTTTTAAAAATAAATAAATCTTTATTTATTATCCCTTACTCTGA